GGGATGGAGGGACAGGACACAGGGAATGGCTTCCCATGCCAGAGGGCAGGGAGAGATGGGATATTGGGAAGGAATTATTCCCTGGCTGGGTGGGCAGGCCCTGGCACAGGTTTCCCAGAGAAGCTGTGGCTGCCCCTGGATCCCTGGAAGTGTGCAAGGCCAGGTTGGAGCAACCTGGGCTGGTGGAAGGTGTCCCTGCCCATGGAATAGGAAGGGCTTTAAGATCCCTCCCAACCCAAACCATTTCTATGATACCAAAGCATCCCTGCAGGACACACTTCCATTCTTTATGGGAACATAAATCCACTGATTCCTCCAGCCAGCCCACGAGCCAGAAACCACCACCAGCCTTCCCTGGGGGGGTCTCTCAGACCCTTTGCCACGTCCTGAGGGCATCAGTGCCCAGAGGTGTCTGATGTGCAGGTGGAGGGGGGATCGGGGGCCGCGCTCGCCGCTGTTTCCCGCCGGTGCCCCCCGGGGTGAAAGGAATATCCCAGCAAAGATTCCACGGGGGCTTTGAGCAGACAATTCATTCCCATCAGAGGCCAGAAATAGCCCCGTGCTGCTCCTCCTGCCGCTGCCTTTGATCTGCTCCGGGGGAAGGCACGAAAATTTGAGGAGTCTCCGACAGAGGTCTGAGCGTCTCCCAGCAAAGTTTTTCAGGCTGAGTGCGGGGGAAAGATTTGCAGGATCAGGCCCCCGGTGGCCTCTGCTTCATCTGCTGTTATTTGTTTGGCTCCTGGGCTACAGAGGTTTCCTTAGCAACTGCTGTATCCTCTTACAAGGCATTGTTAAAGCCACGGCACTGACGTGGGCTGGGGCCGAGGATGCTAAAAACGATGGCACCCAACAAAAATAACCCCGGTGATTGCCCCGTTTCCTTGAGTAAACACCACCATTATCCACCAGGAACCGGCCCCAGGGACTTCTCTTTTTCTGAACAATAATGCAGGTTTGCCTTCAGCATCACCAGCCATCAGCCTTTGTGGGGCTGGCAAAGAGGAAAAAAAATCTCTCTTCCTTTTTGTGCCTTGTGCCAACATTTCCTGGCACAGGGCTGGCAACTGCTCTCTGGGATCTCTTCTTCTAAAGGCTGAGATCTTCTAAAGGCTGAGATCCACTTTCCTGCAGGGAGAAAAATCCCACCTTGGTAAGTGAGGGAACCCACTGGCAGCTTTCTCTCCTTGAGAGTCTGAAAATCCAGCAAGTTCAGACTCCCCAAGACAGAAACATTGGCTGCTCCCTGTAATAATCCAAGGAAAACCTGTGGTTCAGCTCTTCTGCTGGTTCTCTGCCCTGAAGAAGCTGCAGAGGAGAGATTGTGGACAGAATTAAGCTCCCCAAAGGGGTAAAAACTGTACATTTTCTTCACCAACTCCATAAGGCACAAAATCATGGGATGGTTTGGGTTGGAAGGGACCCAAAACTCATCCCATCCCACCCCCTGCCATGGGCAGGGACACCTTCCCCGGGCCATATCTGACCCCGAGGGCACAATGGGACAGGATTAACTGCTTGGATCACTGAGTTCATCCATGGTTTTGGGAAGATATTGGCCAGAGGCAAAGGAAAAGATGGAGCAGAGCCATTGTCCAATGTGGATTTAATAGGAGCTCATGCATGGAGCTGATTTCTGCTGTAAACATGGGGAGGGGAGTCAATGCCAAGCTGATACAGCCAGTGCTGGACTCTTACTGGTACCAGTTTGAGCTGGTTTAAACCTTGCCTGTATCTCTTTTACTCATCTACAGTGCTGACATACCCTGCCATGGAATTTGGAGGTTTTCCCGTGGAAAATTATGACTTTGCATCAAAAGCCGCTGATTTTCCAGCTTTTGATTGTTATTATTATTATTTCTTGACAGAAAGTCGAGGCTCTTTGTTTACAGATAAAGCTGCATTTGCTGTTTATGGCGAAAAATATGACAAAAAAACCCCAACAAACCAGGCAAAAAAAAAAAATGCTTTCCGTGAGTGGTTTCAATTTAGCTCTGAAAACCCACGTTTGTACAAGAAAAGGAGAGAAGAAAGTTTCCAAAGGAACTTCTTACCGGTGCCACAGGCTGGAACCCTCTGGTTTAGCACATCCCAGGGGTGGGGAACAGCTGGATTTGGAAGCAGCTCCAGGTTGGGACACCAGGCTGGGCCTCTCCTTTTGCTTTTCCCCTCCCCAGGTTCAGGACCATCTCATTCAGGACCAGCATTAATGACCCTGAAGAGTGTGAAGCTATGGAGAAGCAGGTTCTGGTGGAGATAAAACCTCCTGGGGGTAAAATCCCCTGAGATTTGCTGCTCAGTAGGAGATAAAAAAGGTTCTGTAAGCCCTTAAATTTTCAGCTCTTACCCATGGATTTAAAAGCAAACACTTCCCATCGTCTAGAAGTTGTAAGGAAACAAAAATAGGGAGTTATTTCAGCCCAAATACAGATCTAAGCACACAGAGCTGACAGTAACTGAGTTTGGCAGCTGAGTATCTCATGAAAATCCTGCTCGTGGCCCTCTAGCCTTTTAGGGATCATCTTTTTTAAAGCATATAAAGCAATGAAGATGTGCCTGGCTAACAGGCCCAACAATCCTGCCCCCCTCTCACCAGGGGGGAATTTTATTAAAGTAGTTAAAAAAGATGTACAAAAACTCTGTCAGAAAATTCCCTGTTAATTGTAACAACAACTCTGACTCTGGGGAAGGAGCAAAACCCTACAAATGTTTGGCCAAAGCCACGACTGGCTGTGTGTGTGTGCAGGGGGTGAACACCCAGCACAGCAGTGTCATCACCCAGGGAGATGTTTGCTGGAAGAGTTTCAGCCTGAGATCCCTGCACAGGCAGGATTCTTTGGAGGCAGGATGTTTATCCCAAGCCCTGACGTTGGTGGCCACGACACATCCCCCTGTCTGTGTCCTGTCCCCAGCTCTGCCTCCCCCTCCTGCTCCTCTGCTGCATCAGCCCCTCGTTCTGGGGTCCCCCCTGTTTGACCTCTGCTTGACCTGCTGCTCTCCCAGCCACGGGATCCTGGAATGCTTTGGCTTGGGAAGCACCCCAAAGATCAGCTCATTCCCAGCCCAGGGGTGCCACCACTGCTTGGGGCCCCAATTCCCAGCCATGGCTCGTTGTTGGCATGGGAGAGGGTGCCCAGGGAAGCTGTGGCTGCCCCTGGATCCCTGGAAGTGTCCAAGGTGGGACTGGGATTGGAGCAGCCTGGCCCAGCAGATCATCTTGGATTAGATGATCTTGAAGGTCCTTTCCAGCCCAAACCATTCCAGGATTCTCTGTCTGACAAACCAAGCCCTGGCCCATCTGGACCTGCCTCCATTCCTTGGGGTCTCTCTCTTCTCCTCTCTCTTTCCTCCTCCTTTTCTGGCTCTCCCATCACCCTGTGGGCCCAATGACATCAAGGCTCTGGGTTTTGTGCTCCATTGAACTTGCTGATCCTTGTGTGTCCCTTCCAACTCAGAATATTCCGTGGTTCTGTAAATATTCATCTCTGATCCCCCTCTATTTTCCTGCCCTCTCCAGGTTTCCACTCTCCTCTCCCCAGAGCTGCTGCCTGTTTCCTCCCCCCTCAGCCCCTGCCCTCTCCTTCACCTCAGCCCTTTGCCCCCCTCTGCCTCCTGTTCCACGGCTCCAGGCAAACACTGGTGCCTGGTATCCAAAACAGATCCATGAGGAGAGGCAGGAATCCCACTCAGACAGGCTGACCCCAAAGGACTTCCCAGCTGAGTGCTGAGAAAGTGCCTCTGAGCCTTTGACTCAGCCCTCACCCCCCCTTGGCTCCTTCCCGGGGGCCTGGGGGTCAGGACAGGGGGACACTGGCCCAGGGCCATGCCAGCAACTCTGGGATTTGGGATAGGGAACACTGGCCCAGGGCCATGCCAGGATCTCTGGGATTTGGGATGGGGGACACTGGCCCAGGGCCATGCCAGGATCTCTGGGATTTGGGATAGGGAACACTGGCCCAGGGCCATGCCAGGATCTCTGGGATTTGGGATAGAGGGACACTGGCCCAGGGCCATGCCAGGATCTCTGGGATTTGGGATGGGGGACACTGGCCCAGGGCCATGCCAGGATCTCTGGGATTTGGGAT